TGTGTGGTTGTGTGTGTGTGGTGTGTGTGGTGTGTGTGTGTGTGTGTGTGTGTGTGTGTGTGTGTGTGGTGTGTGTGGTTGTGTGTGTGTGTGGTGTGTGTGTGTGTGTGTGTGTGTGGTGTGTGTGTGTGTGTGTGTGTGTGTGTGTGTGTGTGTGTGTGTGTGTGTGTGTGTGTGTGTGTGTGTGTGTGTGTGTGTTGTGTGTGTGTGTGGTTGTGTGTGTGTGTGGTTGTGTGTGTGTGTGGTGTGTGTGAGTGTGGTGTGTGTGAGTGTGGTGTGTGTGAGTGTGGTGTGAGTGTGGTGTGTGTGAGTGTGGTGTGTGTGAGTGTGGTGTGTGTGAGTGCGGTGTGTGTGAGTGCGGTGTGTGTGTGAGTGTGGTGTATGTGAGTGTGGTGTATGTGAGTGTGGTGTGTGTGTGTGAGTGTGGTGTGTGTGTGTGTGTGTGTGTGTGTGTGTGTGTGTGTGTGTGTGGTGTGTGTGTGTGTGTGTGTGTGTGTGTGTGTGTGTGTGTGTGTGTGTGTGTGTGTGTGTGTGTGTGTGTGTGTGTGTGTGTGTGTGTGTGTGTGTGAGAGTGTGGTGTGTGAGAGTGTGGTGGTGGTGGTGTGTGTGTGAGTGTGGTGTGTGTGTGAGTGTGGTGTGTGTGTGAGTGTGGTGTGTGTGTGAGTGTGGTGTGTGTGTGTGAGTGTGGTGTGTGTGTGAGTGTGGTGTGTGTGTGAGTGTGGTGTGTGTGTGAGTGTGGTGTGTGTGAGTGTGGTGTGTGTGAGTGTGGTGTGTGTTGTGGTGTGTGTTGTGGTGTGTGTTGTGGTGTGTGTTGTGGTGTGTGTTGTGGTGTGTGAGTGGTGTGTGTTGTGGTGTGTGTGTGTGTGTGTGTGTGTGTGTGTGTGTGTGTGTGTGTGTGTGTGTGTGTGTGTGTGTGTGTGTGTGTGTGTGTGTGTGAATTCGTTCTGTATCCTGAGTCTAGCCTCCTGTTTCCATCGTCCTAGTTCATTACCTTACATTTACTCGGGTTGAACTTCAGTAGCAATTTATTTTTTGACCATTCAATCAGTCTAAGTCATCTTCTAGCCTCCTACTATCATCCTCTGTTTTATTCCTCCTCATAATTTTTGCATCATCAGCAAACAGAGGAACGATTTTATACCCTCTGGGAGATCATTTACATATATAAGAAAAAGGATAGGTCCAAGGACTGACCCCAGCGGGACTCCACTGGTGACGTCTCAACAGTCTGAGACCTCACCCCTCACAGTGACTCGCTGTCTTCTGTTGCTTAGGTACTCCCTTATCCAATGGAGTACCTTCCCTTTCACTCCTACCTGCATTTCCAGCTTTTTCACTAGCCTCTTGTGTGGTACTGTGTCAAAGACTTTCTGGCAATCCAGAAATATGCAGTCTGCCCACCCCTCAATTTCTTGCCTGATTTTTGTTGCCTTTTCGTAGAATTCAATTAATCCTGTGAGGCAGAACTTGCCATCCCTGAATCCATGTTGGTGCTGTGTTACAAAGTTCTTTCGCTCCAGATGTTTCACTAGCTTTTTTCTCACAATCTTCTCTATCAGCTTGCATGGTATGCTAGTTAGCGACACTGGCCTGTAGTTCAGTGCCTCCTATCCCCCTTCGTGTATATCGGGACTACATTAGCCGTCTTCCAAATTTTTGGCAGTTCACCTGTTCCCAGTGATTTGTTATACACTATGGAGAGTGGCAGGCACAGTGCCTCCACTCCTTTAGTATCTATGCGGAGATTCCATCTGGGCCTATAGCCTTTGTTACATCCAACTCTAGCAAAAGCTTCCTTACATCCCCAGTGGTGATCTCAAACTCTTCTAGTGGTGCCTGATTAACTATTCATCTTTCATTGTACCTCTTCATTTCACCTCTCTCTCCTGTCTATATATATGTCCAATACTTGGCTTGTAAATCATTCCTTCTGAAGATGTATTAATATACAAAAGTACTTTAGGAAATTCCTGTTTCAATTCATCCTCCTTGGACACACACACTATATAATACAGTATTAATATATATATATATATATAGTGTGTGTGTGTTGTACCTAGTAGCCAGAACACACTTCTTGGCCTACTATGCACAGCCTGATCTGCCTAATAAGCCAAGTTTTCCTGAATTTATATATTTTTCTAATTTTTGTCTTATGAAATGATAAAACTATTCATTTCATTATGTATGAGTTAATTTTTTTTTGAGTTAAAACTGACATAGATATATGACCAAACCTAACCAACCCTACCTAACCTAACCTGTCGTAACCTAACTTAAACTAACATAACTAAGTCAATACTTTATGTTCCTATTATAATATAATAATTTTTCAAATAAAACAACTGCAAACAAAATTTATATTTTGAACATAAAGAAAATCACTTGGCCTATTAGGCAAATCGGGTCTTGCATAGTAGGCATAGAAGTGCGTTCTGGCTGCTAGGTACGACATACATACATATTATATATATATATATATATATATATATATATATATATATATATATATATATATATATATATATATATAGTGTGTGTGTGTTGATATATATCTATATATTTGTATATATGTATGTGTAGATATATATCTGTATATATGTATGTGTGTATATATATATATATGTCGTACCTAGTAGCCAGAACGTACTTCTCGGCCTACTAAGCAAGGCCCGATTTGCCTAATAAGCCAAGTTTTCCTGAATTAATATATTTTCTCTAATTTTTACCTTATGAAATGATAAAGCTACCCATTTCATTACGTATGAGGTCAATTTTTTTATTGGAGTTAAAATTAATGTAGATATATGACCGAACCTAACCAACCCTACCTAACCTATCTTTATAGGTTAGGTTAGGTTAGGTAGCCGAAAAAGTTAGGTTAGGTTAGGTTAGGTAGGTTAGGTAGTTGAAAAACAAATAAATCATGAAAACTTGGCTTATTAGGCAAATCAGGCCTTGCATAGTAGGCAAAGAAGTGCGTTCTGGCTACTAGGTACAACATTATATATATATATATATATATATATATATATATATATATATATATATATACACACACATACATATATACAGATATATATCTACACATACATATATACAAATATATAGATATATATCTACACACACACACACTATATATATATATATATATATATATATATATATATATATATATATATATATATATATATATATATATATATATATATCTATATCTGTAGATATCTATATATATATCTGTGTAGATATATCTATATATAACTGTATATATATATCTGTGTACATATATATCTATACATATGTGTAGATATATATCTACACATACATATATTGATACATATACATATATAGATATATATCTACATACATGTGTAGATGTATGTTGATATATATACATATATAGATATATATCTACACATATGTGTAGATATATGTTTATATATATCTACACATATATATCTACACAGATATATTATATATATATATATATATATATATATATATATATATATATATATATATATATAATGTATATATACAGGAACTATGCAACTGGCGTACATGGTACCTTAACCACTAGACTAACCAAAAGTGTCGCAGAGATGTTGGGATAAAAGATGTTGGTAGCAGAGGCTATATCACCCCCCAACATCCCGATGGTAATAGATATTTAAATATCTAAATATCTATCTATATAAGAGGGAGGGGGTATTGTGATGTGGGGGTGGGGTGGGGGTGAGGCGGACTGGCAGTAAGGTGTGGGACAGGGAGTGGGAGCGGCGACCTTAAGGACGAGGCAGTGACCCTGGGAAGAAGACAGTTGTGTAGTGTGGGGCTGGCTGTAAGGAGGGAAGGAGGGTATGTATGGGTGGTGGTGGTGGTGGCCACGTTTTGGGTCGGGATGGTAGGAATTTGCCCACCAAGGCTGCCAACCCTGGCGACTCCTAGTCTGCCCTTCCTCTCATGGGTTCACAAGTATCGGGTGGCTAATATTTTTTTTTAACCATGCTGCCCGTCATTATTATTGGACAGTTTTAAATGACAGTTCATCATAGTTTTCGGTGCTTAAGTGGTATAATACATCAGATTCAATAACAATAATATGTATATAGCAGCCTATCTTGACTGACAGACACTTGCTTCCTCCCGTAGAGACTAAGAGAGCGACACTTCAAGCCACTAAACCCCACGATGAGCCAAGGTTTTATACAACCTCTGGCGCTACAATACCTCCCGCGCTCCTTAAATAACTATGATAACAGGCTGGCAAGACTACCAACTCTGGTACCGAATCAATATTATCGATTTATTCAGCCTATTCTTGGCCCTTATTTTGATGGTTCTTGGCGTTATTTTGCTAAGTAAAGCAATATTGCTGGCTGATCAATGCATAATAAAAGCATCCAAAAGTGACATTAGGGAGGTATACAGCGGTGAGTAGGCCCGCGTACCAGGCCCGCATAGGCTTACGCAGTCTTGCCAGCCTATATAATACCGTTTTCTATAGGCTTACGCCGTCTTGTCAGCCTATATAAAACCGTTTTATATTATATATACCCTCATGTGGAAGGTTCTTCACCCCACATAACATGTCGGGACCATCCCAGCCCATTACATCTAATGAATGAAACAGTAACTAGAAACATGCCGGGAAAATAACTATCGCCAAACTCGAACGCATACGCCAGCGGACCTCGGCAGCTAGGCCTACAGATGCCTGCCCTATTTACCACTAATACAGCGGCTGCAAGCTAGGGTTTGCTTGCTGCCGGCTTGCAGGAGCTGTGGGAGTGCCAGCACAGCGGTACAGCCCCACACGGTGACTTATTATCAAGGATATCGCCAATGTTTACACTGGAGGCCCGCCCATAATGGAAGCCATGTTGAAGTTGTCGTCGACTACCGGCACGCAGATCTCCGGGCTCCTCCCTCACATTATACACACCAAACTCTCACTCTCAAGATGCAACAAACAATCTCTGTCCTCTCCTACGTACCGTTGAGCACCTCGATCGCCCTGTCGATCCCTGTCTGGTCTGTACAGTCGAGGAAGGCATAGCCGCCGCGCTTCACAAGCACATTAGTAGTATTCACTCCTTGATCGGCAAATAACTGTCGCAGCGTGCCTTCGTTCACGTCCGTGGGAAGGTTCCCCACGTACAACTTTGACATCATTATAACTGAGTGGTTGATTATGCACTAGAGACACTGTATAGGGCTATTGCAAGTGGGTGAGGGGGTTTGAACTGGGATGTGAAGCGCTTCACACTTGTTTCCCTGCTTGCTGCCGCCCGCTGACTTATCACGTGGGCGGGGCCGCCTTCCCCCCCAGCCCCGCCCTCCGTCTCCCCGAGGGGGCGGGGCTACACCCGCTCTCCTCTCCCATTAGTCGCCACGCACTACCACAGTTATCATTGGCTCTCCACCCCGCAGCCCGCTGCCGTCTCTGCCAATCACAGTTTCAAGCACTGCGCCACGTGACCAGAGGTGAGTTACTGGCTTGGTGCTTATTGGAGATATTCGTTCCAAATGGCAAAAGTTAGAGATTCTGGTAAATACGCAGCATACGCCTGCTGCCTATCTGTGCCCATAGGCCTGTAGGCCTCACTAATAATTCAGTAAGTGTGTGTCAGCCAATAATGCGACCAGAACAACGTCAAAGGTCCGCAGTGTGTGTCATCCACAACACTCACCCATCCCACTATAGGCCTGTAGCCTTGCGCATGTTCACTCTCAACAAAAATAGTGAAAATAGTGACCTTTACCTGCGTGTCAGCTGAACTTGTGATGAACATTTAATACCTCGGTCCCATCCCTCGCCATCACTCCGCTGACAGACTCATACCACCAACCATATTCATACAGTGGAGAGTGATGGTGAGGAGGTGTTTGTTGATAGTGATGAGAGGGTGGCAGTATGCCTATGCTGGCCCCTGTAGTACCTCTCCTCCCCCCCCTTCCCCTGTCACTCACTCCCTCCCTCCCTCCCTCCAAGTACCCCAACACCCTCCCTCCCAGACCCCCCAAAACCTTCCCTCTTGTCAGGGAGCTGTGAGTGTGGGTGTTGGCAGCTAAGCTATGCTTGCTCTCTCTTATCAGGGAGCTGTGAGTGTGGGTGTTGGCAGCTAAGCTATGCTTGCTCTCTCTTATCAGGGAGCTGTGAGTGTGGGTGTTGGCAGCTAAGCTAAGCTTGCTCTCTCTTGTCAGGGAGCTGTGAGTGTGGGTGTTGGCAGCTAAGCTAAGCTTGCTCTCTCTTGTCAGGGAGCTGTGAGTGTGGGTGTTGGCAGCTAAGCTAAGCTTGCTTTCTCTTGTCAGGGAGCTGTGAGTGTGTGTGTGTGTGTGTTGGCAGCTAAGCTAAGCTTATTCTCTCCTGTCAGGGAGCTGTGAGTGTGGGTGCTGGCAGCTAAGTTAAGCTTGCTCTCTCTTGTCAGGGAGCTGTGAGTGTGGATGTTGGCACCTAAGCTAAGCTTGCTTTCTCTTGTCAGGGAGCTGTGAGTGTGGGTGTTGGCACCTAAGCTATGCTTGCTTTCTCTTGTCAGGGAGCTGTGAGTGTGTGTTGGCAGCTAAGTTAAGCTTGCTCTCTCTTGTCAAGGAGCTGTGAGTGTGGGTGTTGGCAGCTAAGCTGAGCTTGCTCTCTCTTGTCAGGGAGCTGTGAGCGTGGGTGTTGGCAGCTAAGTTAAGCTTGCTCTCTCTTGTCAAGGAGCTGTGAGTGTGGGTGTTGGCAGCTAAGCTGAGCTTGCTCTCTCTTGTCAGGGAGCTGTGAGTGTGGGTGTTGGCAGCTAAGTTAAGCTTGCTCTCTCTTGTCAAGGAGCTGTGAGTGTGGGTGTTGGCAGCTAAGCTGAGCTTGCTCTCTCTTGTCAGGGAGCTGTGAGTGTGGGTGTTGGCAGGTAAGCTAAGCTTGCTCTCTCTAGACAGGGAGCTGTGAGTGTGTGTGTGTGTTGTTGGCAGCTAAGTTAAGCTTGCTTTCTCTTGTCAGGGAGCTGTGAGTGTGGGTGTTGGCAGCTAAGCTTAGCTAATTCTCTCTTGTCAGAGAGCTGTGAGTGTGGGTGTTGGCAGCTTAGCTAACCTTGCTCTCTCTTATCAGGGAGCTGAGAGTGTGTGTTGGCAGCTAAGTTAAGCTTGCTCTCTCTTGTCAAAGAGCTGTGAGTGTGGGTGTTGGCAGCTAAGCTAAGCTTGCTCTCTCTTGTCAGGGAGCTGTGAGTGTGGGTGTTGGCAGCTATGCTAAGCTTGCTCTCTCTCTTGTCAGGGAGCTGTGTGTGTTGGCAGCTAAGCTAAGCTTATTCTCTCTTGTCAGGGATCTGTGAGTGTGTATGTGTTGGCAGCTAAGCTTAGTTTATTGTCTCTTGTCAGGGAGCAGTGAGTGTGGGTGTTGGCAGCTAAGTTAAGCTTGCTCTCTCTTGTCAGGGAGCTGTGAGTGTGTGTTGGCAGCTATACTAAGCTTGCTCTCTCTTGTCAAGGAGCTGAGAGTGTGGGTGTTGGCAGCTAAGCTAAGCTTATTCTATCTTATTAGGGAGCTGTGAATGTGTGTGTTGGCAGCTAAGCTAATTTTGCTCTCTCTTGTCAGGGAGCTGTGAGTGTGGGTGTTGGCACCTAAGCTATGCTTGCTTTCTCTTGTCAGGGAGCTGTGAGTGTGTGTTGGCAGCTAAGTTAAGCTTGCTCTCTCTTGTTAAGGAGCTGTGAGTGTGGGTGTTGGCAGCTAAGCTGAGCTTGCTCTCTCTTGTCAAGGAGCTGTGAGTGTGGGTGTTGGCAGGTAAGCTAAGCTTGCTCTCTCTAGACAGGGAGCTGTGAGTGTGTGTGTGTGATGTTGGCAGCTAAGTTAAGCTTGCTTTCTCTTCTCAGGGAGCTGTGAGTGTGGGTATTGGCAGCTAAGCTTAGCTAATTCTCTCTTGTCAGAGAGCTGTGAGTGTGGGTGTTGGCAGCTTAGCTAACCTTGCTCTCTCTTATCAGGGAGCTGAGAGTGTGTGTTGGCAGCTAAGTTAAGCTTGCTCTCTCTTGTCAAAGAGCTGTGAGTGTGGGTGTTGGCAGCTAAGCTAAGCTTGCTCTCTCTTACCAAAGAGCTGTGAGTGTGGGTGTTGGCAGCTATGCAAAGCTTGCTCTCTCTCTTGTCAGGGAGCTGTGTGTGTTGGCAGCTAAGCTAAGCTTATTCTCTCTTGTCAGGGATCTGTGAGTGTGTATGTGTTGGCAGCTAAGCTTAGTTTATTGTCTCTTGTCAGGGAGCAGTGAGTGTGGGTGTTGGCAGCTAAGTTAAGCTTGCTCTCTCTTGTCAGGGAGCTGTGAGTGTGTGTTGGCAGCTATAGTAAGCTTGCTCTCTCTTGTCAAGGAGCTGAGAGTGTGGGTGTTGGCAGCTAAGCTAAGCTTATTCTATCTTACAAGGGAGCTGTGAATGTGTGTGTTGGCAGCTAAGCTAATTTTGCTCTCTGTTGTCAGGGAGCTGTGAGTGTGTGTGTGTTAGCAGCTAAGCTAATTTTGCTCTCTCTTGTCAGGCAGCTGTGAGAGTGGGTGTTGGCAGCTAAGCTAAGCTTGCCCTCTCTTGTCAGGCAGCTGTGGGAGTGGGTGTTGGCAGCTAAGCTAATTTTGCTCTCTCTTGTCAGGCAGCTGTTAGTGTGGGTGTTGGCAGCTAAGCTAAGCTTGCTGTCTCTTGTCAGGGGGGGCTGTAAGTGTGGGTGTTGGCAGCTAAGCTAAGCTTATTCTCTCTTATTAGGGAGCTGTGAATGTGTGTGTTGGCAGCTAAGCTAATTTTGCTCTCTCTTGTCAGGGAGCTGTGAGTGTGTGTGTTGGCAGCTAAACTAAGCTTGCTCACTCATCAGGCAGCTGTGAGTGTGGGTGTTGGCAGCTAAGCTATGACAGTACTAATCAACTAGGGAAGAGTCATCAAGTTTCTGTGGATCCCCTCCCTTGTAGGAATATGTGGGAATGAACGAGCAGATGTGCTGGCTGCTGAAGGCGCTGAAGGAGACCATATTGAATACTTCATACCCAAGACTCTACTACAAATTAGAGGTATTGTCAGTCAACATCTCCGTGACAAGGTAACTGAGGAAAGGAGGATAGAAGCACAAACCAGTGAATCTGTACGATGGTACAACATGGTTGCAGCTGGCAATCCCAATCATTATGGACGAAGAGGAGGTGGCCGCGGGAGAGAATCAGTAATAGCGAGAATCCGTCTTGGATACAAATATCCATGGAGATATGGAATGGAAACAACAGTTGATCAGCGAAGTTGCAGAATCTGTGATGAGAGTGACGGACACCACCTTGACCACTATCTACGTGAATGTGAACACCTGAGAGACATTAGAAATATGTGTAGAATAATAAAGCCCACATTGTTTGAGTTAGGAAAACACTATTTGTCAAATATTGATACTGTTCTTAAAAGATTCCCCCATTTTGCACCCGCAAGATAACGTAAGCTTTTCAGGGGTTGACAGATGTTAATCTTCTTGTTTGAGGAGCTGTTCACTTGAGCCAGTTAAGCAAGTCCCAGCTGTGTCTGGGTACAAGTGACAGGATGAACAACCCAGCGGGTTTTCTTCCTATTGGGGAGTGTTGTACATGCTGCTATGGCGGTGTGTCCACTCACAGGATGAGTGACGCTGCCCAATACTGTCACTATGGCGGTGTGTCTACTCACAGGATGAGTGACGCTGCCCAATAAACTCGCCCCTCGGGGCAAAATTTAAAAAAAAAGTACTTCCATCCCCCTGATACCACCAGGACAACTACCTCCTTCCCCCCTGATACCACCAAGACAACTACCTCCTTCCCCCCTGATACCACCAGGACAACTACCTCCTTCCCCCCTGATACCACCAGGACAACTACCTCCTTCCCCCCTGATACCACCAGGACAACTACCTCCTTCCCCCCTGATACCACCAGGACAACTACCTCCTTCCCCCCTGATACCACCAGGACAACTACCTCCTTCCCCCCTGATACCACCAGGACAACTACCTCCTTCCCCCTGATACCACCAGGACAACTACCTCCTTCCCCCCTGATACCACCAGGACAACTACCTCCTTCCCCCCTGATACCACCAGGACAACTACCTCCATCCCCCTGATACCACCAGGACAACTACCTCCTTCCCCCCTGATACCACCAGGACAACTACCTCCATCCCCCTGATACCACCAGGACAACTACCTCCATCCCCCTGATACCACCAGGACAACTACCTCCATCCCCCTGATACCACCAGGACAACTACCTCCATCCCCCTGATACCACCAGGACAACTACCTCCATCCCCCTGATACCACCACGACAACTACCTCCATCCCCCTGATACCACCAGGAC